CCCTCCCCCCACCTTGAGCCAAACCCACCCCAGTTACGGTTTGGGCCCTGACCGATTTGGAATGCTTTCTTAGGCCACCCATTTCCACAAATTTGTATGCACTCAGGAAATATAAAGTCAAAAATATACAAATCTCTTGTTGTTATAAGTTTTTGTGAGTGAAATTACCCAGGACCATGGACTTGGAAGGAGAAGGGAGGGGGAAGAGAGGGAATTTACAGCAATTCATCTTCAAAGTTCAAAACTGGTCACTTCACAGAAAGACTGCAGGACTGGTGAAATTCTTGCTTCTAAAAAGTGATACTGTAGTGGAGAATTTTCTAGGAAAAATAAAACAGCTTTTAATAACTGGCCCGCTGGTATGAGCTACCGTGGAATAAATTAGCACAAAAATGGAAGTCTTATAACTGTTCACTGTTACAGACGTAATCAACAAGGTCAGTCACTCTCAAAAGTTCATCTTCATCTTCCTCCGGCCCTACCGCTTCCTGCCCGCTCCCCGTCCCGTTGGGCGCCAGGCTGGCACTGGCTGTGCTGTCCTTGGGGGCCTGGGTCTTCTCGCTCGGCTTGCCAATCAAGTTCTCAATGGTTTTACCTGGGCTCTGTCCGTTGGTGGAGGGCAAGTCCACCAGGCTGTATTTTTTTTTCCCTACGTTATCAAAGTCATCTTCGTCGTCGCTTTCTATCCGGTAGCAGTGCTTCTTGGTGGTGTCCGGGGGAGCTTGCGGTGCTGGCAGCTTATTTGCAGGAGCGGGGTTTTCCGCCTCGTTGTTAGCGTTTTCGCAGTTGTCTTCGTCGTCCGTTTCGATCCGGTTCAGCCGTTTGCGGACGGGCCTCCCCTCGTCTTCCTCGTCTTCCCCTTCTTCCTCGGAGTAGTCGTCTGTACTTCGCCGACGTTTGCGAATCAATCGCTTTGACTCCTTTGTGGATTCATCGTCCTCAGAGTTCTTGGACATGTAGCTCTCTGGAATAAGCAGCAGACTTCAAACCATTAGCAAATCCGAGCGCAACCAAAACCATTGTACTTTTTTATTTCCCAGCTTTCACGTTCACTAAAAAGCCGTCTCTCTCCCTCTCCTTCCCCAGGTTCCTCCGACCGCGTCAAAACGCTTGCGCTGTTTTTACTCTCTAACTGCGCTGCTCAAGTAGCAAAGACCAACAATCTGTTGATACGCAACCTGAGGAGTACCAGAGGCTTCGGAGGCCAGCGTGTTCCACCCGCAGAGGGGATAACCGCATGCCGGGAGTAAGGCAGAGCTGCATCCCATCTCACAGCACCCGCTGCGCACCCTTCAGAAACCGAGAGCCCAAATGACAACGGCGCTGACTTAACAAGGTGTGTATATATATATACACACACCCCTACTGTACTATACCCCCATCACCCCCAAATTACACACAACTTCTTCCCAAGCATATTCTTGGGAAGAGAATCCCAATCTCTCCTGGGATGAGAATCTTGCCCAGAGAAGCTGTGGATGCCCCATCCCTGGAAGTGTCCAAGGCCAGGCTGGATGAGGCTTGGAGCAACCTGGTCTAGTGGAAGGTGTCCCTGCCCATGGCAGGGGGGTTGGAACTAGATGATCTTTAAGGTCCCTTCCAACCCAAACCTTTTGATAAGTGGCTACTCCACGGTGTTTCTATCACAGGAACACTCCTAACTGTCACCTGAACTTTGCTGCCCTTCAGTGGGAGGCCTTTTTTTTTTTTTTTTTTTTTCCAACTTTTTTTTCTACACACCAGCAGCCTTTACACTGTCCCTCGATGGCTTTGGTGAGAAAAGACACTGAAAAATCAAATGGCAAGCAGCTTTTGCTGTCTCCTTGTGATTTCCACTAGAAATCATGGAATCACAGACTGGTTTGGGTTGGAAAGGGACATTAAAGCCCACCCAGCCCCACCCCCTGCCATGGGCAGGGACACCTTCCACTAGACCAGGTTGCTCCAAGCCTCATCCAGCCTGGCCTTGAACCCTTCCAGGGATGGGGCATCCACAGCTTCCCTGGGCCACCTGTTCCAGGCTGCACGTGAACTGCCACGTTAAAGGGTGTTGTTTAGCACAGGTTCAGGTTGACAGAGACTCTGTCAGAGTTCCTGTATTTCCAACATAATTAAATTTCCAGCAACGCTGTTACATGTTTTATAACACACTGTGGGAGAGAACTGGAATGGTACTAAATGGTGCTGATTTTAACATCCAAAAAGCCAGTCCCAAAAATACACGAGGAAATGGGATTTCATGGAGAAAAGACAGGGGCACTGTTTACCTTCAACACGCAAGTGCAGGCAGCAAAAACTTCAGCCACCACCCAGCAGGGTCTTAGCAGAGCCCCATCCTACCTCTGAGGAGAGGCTGTACTGCGGTACCGGATCCAGGGTGAGATACCCTACGGCCGCATCCCATACTCGTTTCCCTTCCTCTAACAGGATCCTTCCACGCTCCGTAAACTCAGGCCCGCGCTCGAAACCTGCCCTACGCATCAAGGGCATTCGGCCTGTCAGTGCAGCTGATTTTCTGGGCAAGACTTGCAACCCGCACGGCTCAGCGTCCCTCAGGGGTGGACCCAAGGTCTCCTAAGCTGCGTTCCCAGAATGCAGAGCACACGAAATCAGCGGGGGTTTTTTAAATCTGATTTTACGCCAAAATGCACACCAGTCGCTTGCGGTGTGACCGACGTGACTGAGAGCAGCTTCCTCTGTACTTAGCACAGCTCCTTCCAACGGGAGACTGAACGAGCCTTGGCCACAAAACCAAGCAGGGCACCAGAAGTAATTCCCTCTCCCTTACAAAAGACAATCTTCAGGCGCATGGTGCGAAGCTCTGCGACCTCTTAACGAAGTGGTGAAACCGTTACGGTGGTGCCAATTTTGGAAGCCCAGCACTCCCTGCCACACACTGTAAATTCAGACCTGGAAGTCAAGAATTGGGAGAAGGATGACTTGGAGAAGGGCCTGTAACAGTGCACCACGAAGGACCAGTGGACTGTTTCAGAAGGAAACAGTTTTCAAGGAACAATAAGGAACTCTAAGAAGGAAGATCCTCTGAAATCTCTGAATGACACAGTTTTCTCTTCACGCTCCTGCAAACAGTGGACCGTTTACGTTACCTTCACTATCCGAGGTGGAGAGCCTGCGTTTGTGAACTCTTCTTAACTCCTTCCCATACCGGACACTTTTCTGTGAGCCGTCACTTTCTGAATCTTCCTTATAATTGACTTGTCTCTTCTGATTCCGTCTTGATCTCCTCCTCCTGGTCTCCAGGTAATCGTCATCGCTGTAATCTGTGTAATCGCCACTCTCTACAGAAGAAAACAGTGATGTGTGTTAACCCGTTAAAGCAAACCTGCACACGCGTTAGATGGCCACCAACAAAATCGCGCGCTCTTCCCGCAGGGGAGAGTCTCCGCCATCGCGTCTCGTTACCCGGACCCGTTCCAGGCTCATCCATCTGTTCCCCCATTCACTGCCAGTGCAGAACTGCTCGATTTTAAAACCTTCTCACAAACCCTGCTCCTGTCTCCCTCCAACTCCTCCAGAAGGTGGTTTCCTCACAGTGTTTTGGTTCCCTCAGCTCTACTGGTGCCAACGATTCATAGAATCATACAATGGTTTGGGTTGGAAGGGACCTTAAAAGATCATCTAGTTCCTGAAAATACAGGAAAAACACAGCATCCTGCTGT